ATCATCCTCATTATCGCTCATGTATCCTACCGCTTCCTTGCCAGCTCTGGCCAAGGTGGCATACTTAACATACCTGCGCATCACCGCGCGACTTTGCAAGCCACATCGGACGCACCTCAGAGTTTCGAAGCCACCATTGCTGCCCGGTCCAGAAGAGGCATGATTCAGACCAATGAGCACGATGATGATGAACACGACGAGACCAACCGCTACCCAGGCCGCTGAATATAAACTCTAACCGTCAGCGCCGAGCATTTCCGGCGGTACCTTTAGAGAGCGGGCTAGAGCTAGGGCACGGCACCTGGGCCTGGGCTGGGACGAAACCACCTTCACAAGTATCGCCAGGGACTCTACGATAGGCGTCCGCGAAGTATGCACTCGAGGATGTGCATTCCATCTCTTCTGGTGTTAACACCTACTGTGGCCATCAGAGTCGAGCAACAAGCATTCAAGCAGGCTCAGATCGGCAGGCTACCACTGCTGTTACCGCGTCAACATCGACTGGCTTGCATTCAGTTTCACCCAACGTCCTCGCGAAGCCTAACGCGCAATGATAGTCCTCCAAGGTGCATGGACAGTTGTTCTTGAAGACGGGCCTTTCAAACTTTTCACCTAAGCTCTGCATTCCTGAGTGCACCATTAAGGGCGTTTACCGTTGAAGCACTTTGCATGTGGCTTTCGGCGGACATAACTGGTGATGCGTCCGAGAAGGCACGAACCAGTGGACACTCTGAGGAAGTGGTAGATACAGACAGAGGTTCGAGTTGCGATTGCACTCACAGGCCAGCGCTGGGTATCCAGGTTTCGTAGTCGCTCGATGGGCCATCAGGAGCCCAATAGCCGCTACATATTCTTGGCAGAATCGTCGAAAAGTCGAGATGATAGAGTACACCTGTGTGGAGGTATCGGGTGGGGCCATCCCGTGATTTTCACCCTGGTAGTCTCGCGTGCCGTATACGACGAATTTGGTCGATGCCGCTGAGTCCGATGTGAGAATGTTGGTAACGTGGAAAGGCTCTGCGCCCAGGTCGAAATCATACCTTCGGAAATCGTCAGGCTTCAGCATCGGCTGCAACAGGATGAGATTCAGTGGTGAGGCGGTTGATTCGCAGATTTGTGTCGATCAGTGTCCTATATAGTGTCGGTACCAGTCAGACCCCTCGGTCCATGAGAAAACAATACTGTTAGTTTTTCGAGTTGCATCTGCCATCACTATCAAGGCTCCATGGTCACCAATCTCATAAGAGTATGAGCCTTGGGAGAAAGGCGATGACAAGCTACTGTGGTGGCCTCGACTCACCCGCATGGACTTCTTGCCATGTGAGGCCACCATCACGGGAAAGATACGTGTTGATGTCATCTAGTTCATACCGTAAAAAGGGACCAACATTGCCTACAGCAAACGCCTCGCTCAGGTTCAGACACTAACGCAGTGGAAAGGCGTCACCCATAGCTAGAATGATCCCAACTGCTGCTTCCGTTGCATATATGGGCATCGATACAACTTCACTGGAAACGACATGTAAATGCACTGAGCATCTGAATAACTCGCGGTCTCGCGAAATCAGAAGTTCAAGGGAGATTTTCACTTTGCCTTAGGGCATTCTATTGG